CCACATGTACAGCCTCCGTTTGTGTTGTTGAAAAAAGGTGTTTGCAATGAACAAGTCGTTGGTCTTGCAAAATTCTACCATACGAGTTCCAGCATTATTCTGCTACTTGGTATTTAATCCACTTCTTTATCCTTCCCTTCAAGCTCAGGGTTCCAGGATTATCTTCTGAATCAGTTTCAGTTGGTTTCTCCTTACTTTGTTGTAGAGGGTCTGTGTAGCTTGTCTGCCTGTTCCGCCATCTTGCTGGCACTCGGTTTTGGCAGTTTTGGGAAGTTATTTTGTTGAGTAGAAACATTTTATTTGCTAACTTTCACCAATTTTATTTTTAGGTAATTTTGGTCTTTTTATAAAGTGAACTAAATACACGCTTAAAATTTTGTTTTTTTGGTTTATGTTTTAAAGATACTAAGATTTCTTTGATTTAGCTTGGGTAAAAATATAAGTGTTCCTACATGCACAAGCTAGTATTTGTTTAGAACCGAATACCCTTATACTTAATATTGCCATAAATAATAATGTATTGTAGATACTAACCTCTTTGCCTGTATTTATAATTCCATTGGGAAATGAGTTGTCTCTGTAATGTTAACGAGGCTAGAATAGTGTAGTATGTATGTGTCTTGGGTTAATCTCTTTGAGATATAAAGGAAGGAACAAACAAAAAAAAAGCAGAGACTGGTGTTTAAATGTTCACACTCAACATGAAGTGGGCAAAGGGAGGATCTCCACTGGACAGATTCCTATGTTTTTCTGGGGAATTTGCATAAGAGGGGGTGAGGGAGGATGCTGGTGCCACTGTACAGTTCTTCCCCACATCACCTGACATTGCTTTCTTTCTGCCAGAAGCTATGGTCCCAGGACCTGGGATGCAGCTGCAGGTAGCAGAGGCAGGGGTGATCCCTAAGCAAGAGACTGTAACTATATTCCTGAACCTGTATGTCAGAATTCCCAAGGGCCTTATGTGATGGATTGTGCCTTCCTCCCATGTGGCAGAATTGGGGCTGACAGTGAATAATACTACTGTCTTGCCCAGTGACTGAGATAGCCCATTAGTTTTGTACCTGTGTAACCCTACCCAGCATGAATGGGAGTGGACTGAGTGGGAAGCACTTGCTAGACTGGTCTTGCTACCGGCAATCTGGACTGGCACAGCAGCTGAACCTGATGTCTCTTTCCAAGGTGGGAAAGTTTGGGTAAAAATACATGACAAGTAGAAAGAAGGAGAAGTAATAGCTGAAGGTAAAGGAATGAACAAATGGGTTATGCAGCTGGGGAAATCTAGCATTATGTTGATACCTAAAGAGAGACTAAGAGCAATGGAATAATATTCTCAGTTAAATTTTATCAGAGGCCAGAAAGAGTGATGATGAGACAAATATGGAGTACCTGATCAGCTCAGATGGACACTTGCAGCAAACCTGAATGGCTGGTAACTGAGTAACCTCCCACTTAGAACTCTTTGCCCTAATGAAGTAGTAATTGTTAATGACTTTGGGACCGGTAAAATGTTTGGGAGAGAGAAATTCTTCAAGTGTGAAAGGGCTAATGGCAAAGGTGTAGAGAGATTGGAGCCCTTATACACTGCTGGTGGGACTGTAAAATGGTGCAACCACTGTGGAAAATGGTATGGTACTTCCTTAAAAAGTTGGAAATAGAAATACCATTTGATCCAGCAATCCCACTACTAGATATATATCATAAAGGAGTGAGAGCTGGGACCTGAATAGATGTGCACGGTCATGTTCATCACAGCACTGTTCATAATAATAGCAGAGAGTTGGAAACAAGTGCCCAGCAGTGGAAGAAAGGATAAACCAAACTATGGCACATACACAAAGTGGAATACTGTGCAATGTTAAAAAAAAAAAAAAAAAACAGAGTCTGCAAAACTCCTCACAAACAGAGAAAAGCAGAGACTGGAATAAGATAGATGCCAAGACGTGGAGATTTCCAAAGACCCAGGAAGCTGAAGCTGAAGAGACAAAAGAGAGAAAGCCTTCACCTAGAGCTGGCACCCTGAATTTGTATTTCTCACAACTGGATCAATAAGCAGCAGCATGATAAATGGAGAAAAGATTGAAGTTGTCAAGGATTTGATTTTACTTGGATCCACAATCGATACCCATGGAAGCAGCAGTCAAGAAATCAAATGGCATAGTGCATTGAGTAAATCTCCAGCAAAAGTTCTCTGTAATGTTTTAAAAAGCAAAGATGTCAACTTGAGGACTAAGACGTGGCTGACCCAAACTTGTTTTTTTCAGACACTTCTTAGGCATGTGGAAGCTTCACAGTGAATGAGGAAGACCACAGAAGAACTCTGATGCCTTTGAATTACGATGTTGGCAAAGAATATTGAATATACCATGGACTTCAGAAGAATTGAATTGTCTTGGAGGAAGGACAGCTTAGAAATGAGGATGGCAAGACTTTATCTGTTCTACTTTGGATATGTTGCCAGAAGGGACCAGTTCTTGGAGAAGGGACATCATGCTTGGTAAAGTAGATGGTCAGCAGAAAACAGGAAAACTCAAGATGGATTGACACAGTGGCTACAACAATGGACTGAAACATAGCAATGATTGTAAGAATGGTTCGGAACTAGGCATTGTTTTGTTCTGTTGCACATAGTCACTGTGAGTTGAATCGAACTTGACAACACTTAACAGCAACAGACCTTACAATTGCAACACTTTTAACTTGGTTTAATAATTTACAGAAAATTGTAGTAGGATATATGTTGGAAATGCATTCCTTTGAGATTATTATATCCAATTTAAGAAAATGGAATATTGGGGGTGATGATGAATTCCTGATGATGATTCCCTCCACCCTCCATATAGTCATCTGATTGCAGTAAATTTAAATGCATAATATCTTACCTGGTCCTTATAGGTTTTGTTTATTCTTAGAACATTTATTTCTTTTTAAAACTAAGTATTGCTGTAGTGGCCTTGTCTGGTTTCAGCTAAGGGATTTGCTCTTATTTTCTACCCCTTCCTTTCTTTCTTTGTGTTTGTTCTTTCAGGTTGGACATATTTGACCATTCTTTTCCCCTCAGGTTGAATTGACCAAAGCAATGGTTATGGAGAAGCCTAGTCCCCTGCTGGTCGGGCGGGAATTTGTGAGACAGTATTATACACTGCTGAACCAGGCCCCAGACATGCTACACAGGTAATGCTGTGTCATCTTCTAATGCTGTTTCATAAATTGGTACATCTTTTCTCTTCTCTCCTCACATTTTTTCATCTCTCTAATTAAGGTTCATCTTAAATATAATGAAAAGTGGTATAACCAGTAGTGATCTGAATCTCTGGCTAACTTTTGAAGCCTTTAAATAATTTTTTTTTTAATTTTTATTTTTTAATATTTTTTATTTCATTTTATTGTGATTTGGGTAGAAATTTACAGGGCAAATTCACTTTCCATACAGCAGTTCACATATACTTTGTCTCATATCATTGACCACAGTTTACCACAATGTAACAGCTCCCCTCCCACTTCCTCCCCACAGTCACCTCTTCCCTGTGTCCATCCCTCCATGCATTCTTGCCCCCTGAGCTGTCTCCCTGTGCATAAGCAGCCCTTCTTTCTTCCGTAATCATTCTCTCCAAGGAGTATATCTACCTTAGGTAAATGTTCAACTCATATGCCTGTCTTTTGTTTGGCTGGAAGCCACAGGTGTGGGTTCAATTCCAAATCTGAGGGGCAGCTAGGAGCCATAGTCTCAGTGGTTCCACCAGGCTCTATCGGACTGCAAACCTGGTCCCCCCCTTTTTATTCCTATAAGTAATTTTAAAAGTAGAAAGGCAGACTCAGTTATTGTAGGCTCCTTTTGTGGGAGTGAGATCAAGATACAGAATATGTATAGTCTCATTTGTAAACAAATGTTTATCTGGAAGAAAGCAATAAATCCTAATAGTGATAATCTGTGGGGTGGTCTATTTTGTGTATGTGTTGCATTCTTGATAGAATATTGTTTTAATGAAAACAAAGCAATTCCGAATATAGGTGAATTAAGTGATGGGGAATTAAAATCTAAAGCTCTTAACTGTATCAGCAGATATTATTAAAAGCTCCTTTAATGCCATCTTCCTGAGTTAGTGGGTTTTTAATGGAAGCTGTTCATGTGCGTTTTCAAGATATAAAAGGACTCTGAATTTATTGGAGAATACAGATGTCCCCAGCTTGTCTGTTACCTTCCTGTGGGAAAATAGGAACTTTTGTTTGAAGTGGCTTTCTTGGCATAAACTGAATGATCATTCCAGCATGATCATCCTCTCTGAAACCCTGAAACTTGTGACTTGTGAAATAGTGTTCTTCCTCATTAACCAAATTCATTCCCATTCTGCAAATATTGACTGGGTGCCACATAGGGGATATAATAGATGATTGCATACAAAGATGACCAAGAAATCACATTTCCTGCCTTCAAGAGTCTGGATGATGAAGCAGTAGGTACTCACATGAAAAATAAATACCAATTCTTAGGATGCTTGAAGATGACAAGTATTTTCTTATTCTACAGATTTTATGGGAAGAACTCTTCTTATGTCCATGGAGGATTGGATTCAAATGGAAAACCTGCAGATGCAGTCTATGGACAAAAAGTAAGCATACCAAGCTTTATTAGGATTTTGTTGTTGTTGTTCTTGTTATGTGCCGTCGAGACAGCCCTGACTCATAGCGACCCCTCCTTGGGTTTCCAAGGCAGTATCACTACGGAAGTAGGATTGCCCAACCTTCCTTCCGAGGAGTGGCTGGTGGGTTTGAACCGCCAGCCTTCCGGTTAGCAGTCAAGTGCCTTAGGCACTATGCTACCAGAGCTCCCATTAGGATTTTAGCAACCAGTAAATAACCCATTAAATTAAGGTGATATGTGCTTAATACAATATTGTATTTATTGAGAAGCTCAGGTCATATCACAGTTGTCCATTTATTCTGAAGTTTTTGTAATGCACGTTTATAGATAATTGGTTTTAGGATGGGGATCATTTATTCTAAATATATTTCTAGAGTGTTTATTCAGTAGAATTAGAAGTCTCAAGTGTGGTCACTGGGTATAGAGTATGCTAAGACAAATTTGAGTCTGTCCACTTTGTAATTAAACGTGCAAATTTGTGTTAGGTGATATTTTGGTTGAAGGTTATATATGTTTTAAGGTCTTAACTCTTGCCTTAATTCCTTAGGAAATCCATAGGAAAGTGATGTCACAAAACTTTACCAACTGCCACACTAAGATTCGTCATGTTGATGCACATGCTACTCTAAATGATGGTGTGGTGGTCCAGGTGATGGGGCTGCTCTCTAATAACAACCAGGCTTTGAGGAGATTTATGCAGACATTTGTCCTTGCTCCTGAGGTACGTGTGTAATTGTTAGTGTTACATAGTAATCACATACGTGGGAAAAAAACAGTGAAAGATCATGCATTATCTTTTTTTCTTTTTTAATAGTTATTTGGGTGAAAGCTTACAGAGCAAATTCACTTTTTCCATATAGTAGCTCACGTACACTTTGTCTTATGACATTGACTACAATTTACCATAATGCAACAGCTCCCCTCCCACTTCCTCCCCATAGTTACCTCTTCTCTTTGTCCTTCCATCCATGCACTTCTGTCCCCTGAGCTGTCTCCGTGTTCATACACAGCCTTTCTATTTTCCCATGATCGTTTTCTCCAAGGAGTGTATCTACCTAATGTAAATGTTCAGCTCATAAGCCTGTCTTTTGTTTGTCTGGTAGCTGCAGGAGTGGGTTCAATTCCAGATTTCAAGGGCAGCTAGGGCCCATATTCTCAGTGGTTCCATTGGGCTCTATCAGACCAGCAAACCGAGTGGCCTTCCCCTCCTTTATTTTAAATGATTTTGAGTTTTGTTCCACATTGTTCTCCTGCTCTGTCTAGGATCTCCTACACAGATCCTCCTCCAGGTGGTTGAGAGAGGTTGCTGGGCACCATCTAGTTCTTCTGGTCTCATAGTCGTCATGCATATCTTTTAAAAAACTTTTTATTTTGACATTTTAAATGTACAAAAAATTACCAGGATAGTACTGTAAATGCCACATACCCTTTACCTAAAGTCCTTTTTCTATTTACCTATTATTTTTTCTTCTAAACCATTTGTAAAGATGTTAAAGACATTGCATTCAGACATTTTCCTCATAACCATACTGCAGTTACTAAATCTGGCAATCATTAATGCAGTACAATTACTTGATATGTAGTCCAAATTTAAATTTTGGTAATTGTCCCAATGTCTTTTTATAGTAAGTTTTTTTCCCCTTATTGATTCAAGATTAGTTATCATGTCTGTTTAATCTCTTTTAATCTTCAGTAGTCCCTCCATCTTTATTTTTACGACGTTGACTTTTTTTTTTCCCTCGAGAAAGTGGGCATTATAAGTTAATGTTTATTTTCACTTTTTATTGATTGCTAATACTTCCTCTTCCCATAGTGTCATTGCTTATTTTAGTATTTTATTGTGGTAAAGTATATATTAAAAAATTTTATCATTTTGACTGTTTTTAGTGACATCGATTACATTTAGCATGTTGTGCAACCATCACCAAATCTATCTTCAAATGTTTGTTATCCTTCTAAACAGAAACTAAGGAGCTGTGATGGCATACCTAAGGCATTTGCCTGCTAACCAGAAGGTTAGTGGTTCAAACCCATCAGCCACTTGTGGATGGAAGACTGGGCAATCTACTTCTGTAAAGATTTACTCCTCAGAAACCCAAAGGGGGTCACTATGAGTCAGAATTGACTCAGTGGCAGTGAGTTTGGTTAAACAAAAGCTTGCTACTTGTTAAGTAATAACTCCTCCTTATTTTTCCTTTTAGCCCCTGGTAACCACTAATAAACTTCATGCATTTGTGTGTTTAAATGGAGTCATACAGTATTTGTCCTTTTGCATCTGACTTATTTTACTCAGTGTATTTTCAAGGTTCATACACGTGGTAGCATTTCTCTTTCATGGCTGAATAATACTCTGTTGTATGAATATGTCACATTTTGTCTATTCATTCACCCGCTGATGGGTTGTTTCCACCTTTTGGCTATTGTGACTAATGCTGCTGTGAACATCAGTGTACAAGTATCTATGTGAGTCCCTGCTTTCAATACTTTGGAGTATATATCTAGCAGTGGAATTGCTGGGAAATAGGGTGCTTCTATATTTAACGATTTGAGGAGCTACCTGTAACGACTGTAGCATCTTTCAATTTTACGAGCAGTGGTTGAGGGTTCCAAATTTTTCACGTTCTCAACAGCACTTGTTATTTTCTGTTTTTCTGAGTCAGTTTGGACTCATAGCAACCCCTCCTTGGGTTTCTGAGGTGGTAGGTGGTATCTCTACAGAAGTAGATTGCCCAGTCTTCTTCTGAGGAGTGGCTGCTGGGTTTGAACCACCAGCTTTCTAGTTAGCAGTCAAATGCCTTAGGCACTATGCCACCAGATGAAGTGGTATCTTATTTTGCTTTTAATTTTCATTTCTGTAATGATTAATAACGCTGAGCTTCTTTTTATATGTTTATTGTTTATTTGTATGTCTTTTTTGATAAATGTCTGTTCAAGGCCCTTTTAAAAATCAGGGTGTTTTTCTTTTTATTCCATTGTAACCAAAAACCACATCTGCTGCCATCATGTCAGATCCGACTCATAGCTACCCCTCTTGGGTTTCTGAGGCAGTATCACTATGAAGTAGATGGCCGAACCTTTCTTCTGAGGAGTGGCTGGTGGGTTTGAACTGCCAGTTCTGGTTAGCAGTCAAATGCCTTAGGCACTATGCTACCAGACTCCTTATTGCATTGTAGGTGATATTTATAATTCTGGATATGAAACCCTTATCAAATATATGGTTACCAAATATTTTTCGCATTCTGTGAGTTGCCTCTTCGCTTTCTTGATAAAATCCTTTCATATAAAACAGTTTTTAATTTTGATGAAGTATAATTCATCTCGTGTGTGTGTATGTGTGTGTGCACGCGCGCGCGCGCAAGTATTTGGTGTTAACAAGTATTCCATTATCAAAAACTGGGTCTTGAGTTTTGTTCCACATTGTTCTCCTGCTCTGTCTAGGATCTCCTACATAGATCCTCCTCCAGGTTTTTTCTTTTAGAAGTATTGCAATTTTAGTTCTTTTTTTTAAAAAATGCATTTTATTGAAATATAATTTATGTACAGTGAAATACACAAAACTAAAGTGACATAGGTCAATGTATTTTATTATTATTATTTTTTTTGCAGTGTTTCCTCCCCCAGTTTTAGTTCTTATATTTGGGTTATTGATTCATTTTGAGTTAATTTTTGTTTACGGTATGAGGTATGTTTCAGTTTCATTCTTTTGTATGTGGAGATCCAGTTGTTTAGCACCACTTACTGAAGAGACTGAAGAGACTCTTCTTCTTCTCTTTCCCCATCTGGTGTACTTGGTACTCTTGTTAAAATCAGTTAACTGTAGATGCATGGCTATATTTCTGTTTCATCAATCTATATGTTGATCTGTATAGCATCAATATATAGTTTTCATTACTGTAACTATGTTGTCATTATTGTAACTAGGATATGTTTTGAAATCTGTGAGGAGTGTATGTCCCCAACTTAATTCTTTTTCAAGATTGCTTTGGCTGTTTGGGGTGTCTTGCAGTTCCATATGAATTTGGGACTTTGAGTTTTCTGTTTCTGAAGAAAGACTCTTGGAGTTTTGATAGGGACTGTGTTGTTTAATAGTTTGCTTTGGGTAGTATTAACATCTTAAAAGTATTAAGCTTTGCACTCCATGAGCATGGGTCTTTTCTCTTCCCTAGTTAAATTTATTTCTAGAAATTTTATTCTTTTGGGTGCTATTATAAAGGGAATTGTTTTCTTAATTTCTTTTTCTGTTAAAGGGTGAATAAAACAGACTTAGGCCTTTTTATTTTTGATATTGTGATTTAGGTGAAAGTTTACAGAGCAAATTCATTTTCTATACAACTGTTCATACACATTTTGTTTCATGACATTGATTGCCATCCACAGAATGTAGCAGCTGTCTTCCCACTTCCTCCTTCTGGTACCTTTTTCCTGTGTTCTTATTTTCTGTGCATTCCTGCCCTCTGAGCTATTGCCCTGTGCAAATGCTGCCCTTTTAATCTCCCATAGTTGTTCATTCTGAGGAGTCTACCTACCTGTTGTAAATATTCATCTTATATATCTGTCTGTTTGGCTGGAAGCTGTGGGAGTGAGTTCTATTCCAGGCCTGAAGGGTGTCTAGGGGCCATTAATAGTCTTTGGGGTTTCACCAGTAACTGGCCTGGTCTTTTTTATGATTTTGAGTTTTGCACATTTTTCTCCACTCTATCCAGAGTCTCCTATTTTGAGCTCTTTCTGAGTGGTTGACAGTGGTAGCTGGGCACCATCTGGTTCTTCTGGTCTCAGGATCATGTAGGCTGAGGTTAGCATGATCTACTAATTCCTTTGTCTAATTGTTTCCATGTGTCTTTGGTTTTCTTCATTTTCTTTTGGTCTGAATGAGGAGAGACCAATTGTTGCATCTTGGATGACTGCTTGCAACTTTTAAGACCTCAATTGCCACTCAGAAAAGTAGTATGTGGAACAATGTTTTTGTGTAGTATGTTATGCTAGTTGAGCTTGATGGCCCCCAGGACCATGGTCCTTGAGCCTGTGGACACAGGGACTCATTCCCTCAGGGTTTTTGGCTGGGGTTAAGAAGTTAATCATCACATTGCCCTGTTAGCTCTACTATACATAGGACAAATAAAACCAAAAACCAAACCCACCGCCACTGAGTAGGAACCGACTCATAGTGACCCCTCCTTGGGTTTCCGAGGCAGTATCACTATGGAAGTAGATTGACCAGCCTGCCTTCTGAGTAGTGGCTAGTGGGTTTGAATCGACAGCCTTCTGGTTAGCAGTCAAATGCCTTAGGCACTGTGCCACCAGAGTTCCCAAAGGACAAATATGTATGTGGAAATATCGTCTACCAAACTTATATATGGTCATGGGTGTTGTTGTTGTTGTTATGTGCCATTGAGTCGGACTCAACTCATAGCAACCTCTCCTTGGGTTTCACTATGGAAGTAGATTGCCCAACCTTCCTTCCGAGGAGTGGCTGGTAGGTTTGAACCACCAGCCTTCTGGTTAGCAGTCCAAGTGCCTTAGGCACTACACTACCAGAGCTCTTTGGTCACAGTGTATTCCCTTTTGTCCAGATGTGTCTGATCTTTTAGCCTGTCTACGTATGTGTTCTTTTGCCATAATGTTGATCCTGACTCATAGCGATCCGCATTAGGTTTCCAAAGCTATAAATCTTTATGCAAATAGATTGCCTAATCTTTATTCCATGGAGCAGCTGGTGTGTTTGAACTGCTGACCTTCTGGTTAGCAGCCAGCCTTACCCAGTAAGCTACCAGAATCTGTCAGCTTGTCATACTGTGGTGGCTTGTGTGTTGCTGTGAGGCTGGAGGCTATCCCACTGGTATTTTGAATATCAGCAGGGTTACCCACGGTGGACAGGTTTCAGTGCAGCTTCCAGACTAAGACAGATTCAGAAGGAAGGGGCTGTCCACTTCTCATTATAAATAGCAGTGAAACACTGTCTGATATATGACTGGAAAACTTTATGAATAGCCCTGAAACACTGTCTGATATAGTGCCGGAAGATGAGCCCTTCAGATTGGAAGACACTCAAAATAGGACTGAGAAAGAGTTGCCTCCTCAAAGTAGAGTCAACCTTAGTGACGTGGATGGAGTAAAGCTTTTTGGGACACCCATTTGCTGATGTGGCAAGAGTCACGATGGGAAGAAACAATTGAGAGTTGTCAAAAATGAAATGGAATGCATAAAGATTGATATCCTAAGCCTTAGTGAGCCAAAATGGACTGCTTTTAGCCATTTTAAATCAGACAGTTATATGATCTATGCTGGGAATGACAGATTGAAGAGGAGTGACATTCATTGTCACAAAGAATGTTTCATGATCCATCCTGAAGTATAATACTGTCAGTGATAGCATACTATCCATATGCCTACAAGGAAGACCAGTTAATACTACTGTTACTCAAATTGACGCATCAACTACTAATGACGAGGAAATTGAAGATTTTTACCAACTTCTGCAGTCTGAAATTGACCAGACATGCAATCAAGATGTGTTGATTATTACTGGTGATTGGAATATGAAAGTTGGAAACATAATCACCAGTAGTTGGAAAATACGGCCTTGGTGATAGAAATGATGCTGGAGATCACATGATAGAATTTTGCAAGACCAAGGACTTGCTCATTGTAAATACCTTTTTTCAACAACACAAACAATGACTGTACACATGGACTTCACCGATGGAGTACACCAGAATCAGATCTACTACAACTGTGGCAAGAGGCGATGGAGAAGTTCAAGTATCTTTATCCAAATCAAGACCAGGAGCTGACTGTGGAGCAGACCATCAGCAGGTCCATGAGAGCCAAAATATGACCTTGTTTACATCCTTCCTGAATTTAGAGACCATCTAAAGAATAGATTTCATGCATTGAACAACAGTGACCGAAAATTAGAGGAATTGTGGGATGACATCAAGAACATCATTCATAAAGAAAGCAACAGGTTGTTAAAAAGACAAAAAAGAAAGAAAAGACCAAAATGGATGTCAGTAGTGACTCAGAAATTTGTTCTTGAATGAGGAATAGCTAAAGCAAATGGAAATAAGATGAAAAAGCTGAACAGAAGATTTCAAAGAGCAGCTCAAGAAGACAAAGTTATTATAAAGAATTGTGCAGAGACCTAGAGTTAGAAAAACAAAAGGGAAGAACATGTTTGGTATTTCTCAAGCTGAAAGAATTGAAGAAAAAATTCAAGCTTCGAGTTGCAATACTGAAGGATTTTATGGGCAAATTGAATGTAGAAGCATCCAAAGAAGATGGGATGAATACGCAGTCACTGTACTAAAAAACAATTGGTCTGTGTCCATCTATTTCAGGAGTTGGCAATAACTGATGGTATTGAACGAAGCTGCACTGAAGGAAATGGTGAAAAACAAGGCTCCAGGAATTGATGGAATAGCCAATGATATGCTTCAGCAGTTACAGCTGTGCTGGAGGCACTTACTCATCTATGCCAAGAAATTTGGAAGACAGCTAGCTGGCCATCTGCCTGGAAGAGATCCATATTTGTACCCAATCCAAAGAAAGGTGATCCCACAGAATGTAGAAATTATTAAACAATATCATTAATATCACAATTAAAATTTTGCTGAAGAAATTGAAAAACAATTGTAGCAATATATTGACAGTGAACTTTTAGAAATGCAAGCTGGATTCAGAAGAGGATGTGGAAAAGGGATATCATTGCTGATACCAAATGAATCTTGACTGAAAGCAAAGAATACCAGAAAGATGTTGGCTTGTGTTTAATTGACTGTGCAACAGCATTAGACTGTGTGGGTCATAACAAATTACAGATAACATTTAGAGGAATGAGAATTCCAAAATAATTGTGTTCATGAGGTACGTAGACCAAGAGACAGTTGCTTGAATGGAACAGGAATACTGCATGGTTTAAAATCAGGAAAGGTGTACTTTCAGTTTGTGTGCTGAACACATAGTTTGAAAAGTTGGAGTATACGAAGAAGATCGCGGCAACAGGGTTGGAGGAAGACTTGTTAGCAACCTGTGATATGCAGATGATACAGCTTTGGTTGTTGAAAGTGGAGAAGACTGGAAGCACTTACTAGTGAAGGTTAAAGATTGTAGTCTTCAGTATGGATTGCATTTCAATACAAAGAAAATTAAAAATCTGCACAATTGGACCAATAAGCAGCATAATAAATGGAGAAAAGATTGAAATTGTTAAGGATTTCATTTTACTTGGATGTACAGCAGTCAAGAAATCAAACAATGAGAAAATGTGCTGCAAAAGACTTCCTTAAAGTGTTGAAGAGCAAACATGTCAGTTTGAAAACTAAGGTGTGTCTCACCCAAGCCATGGTATTTTCAATAGCCTCATATGCTTTTGAGAGGTGGACAGTGAATAAGTAAGAGTGTAGAAGAATTGATTCATTTGAATTGTGATGTTGGTGAAAGATACGGAATATACCATACACTGCTAGAAGAATCAACAAATGTGTTTTGGAGGAAGTACAACCAGAATGCTCTTTAGACACAAGAATGTCTCTCATACTTTGGTCATGTTGTCAAAAGGGACAATCCCTGGAGAAGGGTATCATGCTGGGTAAACAGAGGGTCAGCGAATAAAGGAAAAACCCTCAACAAGCTGGATTGATGGAGTGACTACAGTGATGGGCTCAAGCATGACAGTGATTGTGAGGATGGTGTAAGACCCTGCAGTGTTTCATTCTGTTGTATTTAACATCACTGTGAATCGAAAATTACTCAGTGGCACCTAACACCATTATTTAAGGAAATGTTTTAGTGATTTGAGGTGGGGGTCTGGCATCTTAGATTTATTGACCTGGTTGTAAGGATAAATAATTTGAGCAAATAAAATATATTCGAGTGTAATCATTTTACATCCATAGTGTATAGCAAGGTTTTTTAGCCTCAGCACTATTAATGTTTTGGGCCACATAATTTTTTGTTGGGGGGTGTCCTGTGCATTGTAGCATGTTTAGTCTCATCCCTGGCCTCTACTCACTGGTGCCAGTAGCAGTCTTCCCTCAGTTGTGGAAAATGAAATGTGTCTAGACATTTCCAAATACCTTGGGTGGGGACAAAATTCCCCAGGGTTGAGAGTTGGTTAGAGTGATTTGGCTTTTTTAAAGGGTCCTGAATAAATGAAAACTTCTGTTGGAATTGCAGGGCTCTGTTGCAAATAAGTTTTATGTTCACAATGATATCTTCAGATACCAAGATGAAGTCTTTGGTGGCTTTGTCACTGAGCCTCAGGAGGGTAAGTAGTGATAAGAATATTGTAAGTTACTTGCCTAAGTTTTTTTTTTTTTTAATGCCATCAGAGTACCCCTAGGAATATAGGTTTCATGAATCTTTTCATTATACTGTGTTCTTTGTTAACAGTGACTTCTAATTGTCGAGACATGTAAAGGGAGTGAGATTTTATCTTCCTTGCAAGCTAACAGGTTAGCTTGCTACCATTTCATGGATGTTGGTAGGAGATATGAGACTCCTGGGTCAGAAATGGACAGGTTGTTACTCACACCAATAATAGTAGCATTTCTGCTCCGGTTTCCACAGGGCACTGTGAAGAGGCCCAAGTGATAACCTACACAGAGACCCATGGAGAATTTTTTCTCAGCAAGTAATAATAATATTTGAGGTTTTTTTTTTTATTATTATTTTTTAAATGGCTGAGACTGTTCTAAGTGCTTTATGTTGTGCAATACAACAACCTTATGAATAGGTACTTTAGGTAGTATTGTTCCTATTTAGAAGATTAGGGTCCTTAGATACAGAGAAAGTAACGCAGAGTCCAATATCTTATATCTAGTTAGGTGGTAGAGGATGGATTCAGTTATTGGCCGTATGCTTTCAAATCTATGTTGTTAACGAGAACTCTGTAATACCCCCAATTCTGTCCTTAAATTTATTAAATTTTTTGGTGTTTTTGGTTTTTTTACTTTGTCGTGTATGTTTTTCTTAGTAATTATCTTTCTGATCACAGTGAACAATGTGAAAGTGAATGCAGTTGGTTCGCCATATGCATGGATTCCACATCCATGGATTCAAGTAATCAAGGATCAAAAAACATTCAGGGATAATAAAAGACATTTAAGTGGTGAAAGCAATCCCTCAAAGGCTAAGAGGGGCAGTGTAAAGTGCTATTTAAATAGCCTGTATGTTGTATTAGCTATTATAAGTAATCTAGAGAAGATTTAAAATATAGAGGAGGACATGTGTAGGTTATATGTAAATAGTATGTCATTTTATATAAGGGACTTGAGCGGCCATGGATTTGGGTACCTATTGGGGGTTTCTGGAACCAATACCCCATGGATACCAAGGGACAACTGTTGATTTATGAATTGAGTTACTTGTTGAATTACTTTAAAACTTTTTTCCCTCATTTAGAATCTGAGGAAGAAGTAGAAGAGCCTGAAGAAAGACAGCAGACACCGGAGGTGGTTCCTGATGATGCTGGAACTTTCTATGATCAGACTGTCAGGTAAGAAAACTTGTTCACATGTCCAGGGCTGTATGGAAAGTTGAGTTGTCTAGTCTTTCCCTTTGTTGGAGGATGGTCATCTCTTATCAGAATTATCTCAAGAAAGAGTTATTGTCCAGAAGAAAGGTTTTGCTTTTGGTAATCTCTAAGCTGGTGGTTCAGACCCACCCAGCAGCACCATGAAAGAAAGTCCTGATGATCTGTTTAGTAAAGATTTCAGCCATGCACACTCTTAGGGAGCAGTTTTGCTCTGTAACACATGGAGTGAATCTGAATTGACTTGCCAGTATGGGTTTAATTTCTGGGGTTTAACTCTGAGCTCACGGAAACGTATAACTTGTTTAATACAAGGACTGTTTAATTAGTATCTGTCAGTTGGTTTTTGGTTCAGTTTTATCTTAGTGTAAGTGAAAAATCTAATTGGATTTCTTATCAGATGCTTTGGGAGAAATATAAAGTGTGCAAGGACTTTTGTGTAATTAGAGATATAGGTATAAATTGGTAGAATTTCAATCATTAGTTAAGTAGCAATAAAGAATTTCATTATATGCCCTTCATACAATCAGTGTAAAGGTATTTTAGATTTTTTTCTCCTATAGTTGGAAAATAAATGTGTATGATTGGAAAATAAATGAATATTTACTTGTTGCCTCGTGACACTCTTAATTTTATAGTGTTTCACCGGGTGTGGTGATAGACAGACTATCCCATAATTAATTACACCTGGGTTGCTGTTTGGATGATGAAGGGTAATTATCCCACCCCAGGCCTACTGAATTGGCATTTCAAGGAAAGAGAGAGCTATACTTTTAACAAGCACTCCCAGTTTGTTTTTATCATGGGAGATTTTTGTGATGTTATGTGATAAATAAATTATAATAATTTTGGGATTCCACCTGAATGAGAAATAATGGTTTGCTTTCATTTTGATCTGTTTGGTTCATTTTAGCAAGTAATTGTGATTCCAATTAAGATGATCTCAGTGAGTGCTTTTAAAAAAGTTGTTTGTTCCACTATTCAGAAATAGGAATATGATTCTTAGATCTTTTTTTAGAAGAAGGGGGTAACTATTTGGGGGCTCAGGTCTTTATTAGTAAACACATAAGAATTTCTTGTTAAATCAGTGGAGGCAGAATGATATTTCTTAAATTTTCCTGTGAAAGCAATGATTTAGAAGAACATTTAGAGGAACCTGTTGCTGAACCAGAGCCTGATCCTGAACCAGAACCGGAGCAAGAACCTGTATCTGAAATCCAAGAGGAAAAGTCTGAGCCCATATTAGAAGAAACTGCTCCTGAGGATGCTCAGAAGAGTTCTTCCCCAGCTCCTGCAGACATAGCTCAGGCAGTACAGGAAGACTCAAGGGTATGGAACAGATCTTCATTTTTGTTTGATTTCTTTCTCTCTTTTTAAAATAACTCTTCACCTTTATTATTATTGGGTTGAATTTTGTAGGTACATTTTCATGATAGTGGTTTAGAGCAGTTTCTTGCATGTTAAGTTATGTCTCAGACAAGAAGTAAGGTGCATGTTGCTTTATAAAATCAAAAGTAACATTTTTTTCCATAGGGAAACAGAGTTATGAACCTTTTAGACTAGACATTTCAGGTGCTATTTTTCACCATGTTAATAACCCCCTGTCTTTTTTAGTATTTCACTTTTGGAACTGCAAATTATTGTGTGTTTGTTTTAGTAAACAATTCCAGTGTATCTTTTTTGAAAAAATAAAATGACAGAACAGGATGTTTCTTCTCTTTTTTAATTTAATCTAGTTGGGAGTAATTTCACATAACAGTAGAAATGGTTGAAAGGTGGAAGGCTTTCAGAGTTACACCTCCTGGATCACATCAAGGTGATTTATTAAGTCACAGAACTTGTAAGTTTGATCTGGGAAGGAATATTTTTTAATGCTAGATTTTTGGGGTCAGGGTTCTTAGAGTGTTACTTGTTTCACTTCAGCAGTTCGCTAATTCAAATGCCTGCTGCGTGCCAATCATTGTCCTAGATGTTGAGACTAAATATGTAAGAGTTATTGCTCTGTGGAAGCTAATAGTTGAATAGGAAAGAATTGGTAAATAGTCATTCAGTTACTGTTGTTTTAAGTGCAACTTACAAATGAGAGTTTTCATGGGAACTTGTAATGAGTTACCTAGCATTGTCCTAATGTTAAGGAAAGACTTCCCTTCAATTGAAAAGGAAGAGATTCCTATGAGATGGGAAAGAAAGGAGTAGAAGAAAAACCTATGTGGTCGGATGAGAATTCAGAAAGGGAGTGTGGTAAAGGTGAAGCAGAGGAGGCTAAGTCATTGTGAGCTGTCAATATTTCAGAGTTTAATCTTTATTGCAAAGAAATTAGAGGTCATTAAAAGGGAGTGATTGCCTTAAAATTTGTAGTATTAAAGTTGACGTTAGCTTCCAGGTGGCAAAGTGTGTTGGCTGGGTTAAAAATAAATTACCTCTAGGGAGCTGTTACAGTGGTCCTGTGGAAAGGAAATGATGTCTTATGTTAGGGTAGTGGCTGGAGAGTTGGAGAGAGGATAATTAAGGGGTAGAATAGTGGGATCTGGTGATTTTGATACAGATGGGAGAAGGTCAGAATATTTCTAAAGTTGATAAAATTGGGTTGATAGTTGTACCATAGCTTTGAGCGTATGGGGAAGGATCAGAGGAGGAAGAACAGGTGTTGGGGGAGAGATTTCATTTCCTTTGGTTACAAACTTGAAATTGGTGCAAATTAGCTTCCTTGGCTCTAAGCCTCTTTCATATATCCCTGATTTGCTATTTTGTTATTGTTGTTGTTATGTGCCTTCGAGTCGGCCCCGACTCATAGCGACCCCTCCTTGGGTTTTCGAGGCAGTATCACTACGGAAGTAGGATTGCCCAACCTTCCTTCCGAGGAGTGGCTGGTGGGTTTGAACCGCCAGCCGTCTGGTTAGCAGGCAAGTGACTTAGCCACTATGCTACCAGAGCTCTATTTGCTATTTAGTCCTAAGGAATTTTAGTACTAAATTGTGAATAGAATGGGAAAAGGGATCTCAAGATTTGATGTATTATGTAATCTCATAATGTTGGTATTTCACTCTTAGACATTTTCTTGGGCATCTGTGACCAGTAAAAACCTACCACCCAGTGGAGCTGTTCCAGTTACTGGGATCCCACCTCATGTTGTTAAAGTCCCAGCTTCACAGGTGAGGTTCTAGTTAAAATTGCACATTATGCAAATTTATTTGTATTTCATGTAACATAGTTTCACACATTTAGAGAATGTGGAACTGGTATGTAAGATAGTGGAGAAGGGTGGAAGGTGGTTTTAATGGTTCTTGGGAGGGAATTTTCATTTTGTAGTTTAAATCTTAGTGTTAGCTAAGACATTTTATAAGAAAAAAGGTAAGCCTGCTTGGTTTTAACACAAAAGCTAATTTACAAAATTTTCAGCCCCGCCCAGAGTCTAAGCCTGAGTCTCAGATTCCACCGCAGAGGCCTCAGAGGGATCAAAGAGTGCGAGAACAGCGAATAAATATTCCTCCACAGAGGGGCCCTCGACCAAGTAAGAGCTCAGAGTGGTGTGATTTCTTTCTCTAGTTTAGGCAGTTTTAAGGTGAGAGCTTGTTTTTTTTTTTTCCTTTTTTTTGAGGAGAGGGATTGATGTTTGTGTATTTATTTTTTAATATTGTAGGGCTGATGGAATTACTTGTAATTAGAAAACTATTGAGTGGACTAGCCACTGAAAGGTGTTTTTCTCTGTTTTTGATTCCTGTTTTTGTTTCCTCTCGAGTTCGTGAGGCTGGTGAGCAAGGTGATGTTGAACCTCGAAGAATTGTGAGACACCCTGATAGTCACCAGCTCTTCATTGGCAACCTGCCTCATGAGGTGGACAAATCAGAGCTTAAAGATTTCTTTCAAAGTAGGTTATTGACTTTTGACAATTAAATTCATCTAGTGCAATGCTGTCCAGTAGAAATAGGAAGCAAGCCAAGTACATAGTTTAAGTTTAGTAACATTTTATTTAATGCCCTCCCTGGGGAAGAATATTTCACACATTACTGTTTTAGAGTTGTGTTTATTCTTCTACTGTGGAAATAAGTTTTTTTTTTTTCTTTCCTTTACTCTTCGCCCAAGTGTTAATATGTGTCTACCCTCTAGTTAGTGGTTTACCCATCCACATCTGGTAACCATCAATGAATATTTCTGTTTTTGTGGACCTCTTTTCTTGACTTTTTACAATAGTGCTCTCATACAGTATTTGTCCATTTGTGATCGACTAATTTCATTCATACTGTCCTTAGGTTCATCCATTTTATGAGGTTTTACAGATGCATCATTATTTTCTTTTAACATTATATAGTATTCCATTGTGTGCATGTACCATAGTTTGTTGATCCATTCCTCTATTCATGGGCATGTAATTTGTTTCCATCTTTTTGCTGTTGTGAATAGTGCTGCAATGACCATAATTGTGCATATATCTGCTTGTGCCATGGCTCTTATTTTTGTAGGTTATATATAAACCTGGGGTGCTGGATTATATGGTATTTCTATTTCCAGCTTTTTGAGAAAGTACCATTACAGTTTTCCACAGTGGTTTCACCATTTTATAGTCCCACCAGCAGTGTAAGATGTAAGGGTCTCTTAGCACCCTTGCAGCATTTGTTGTTTTCTGATTTTTTGAACTTTGCTATTATTTCTGGGGTGAGATGATACATCGTTTTGATTTGCATCTCTCTAATGGTTAATGATTGTGAGCATTTCTTCATGTGTTTATTAGCTTGCCTGAATGTCATTGGTGAAGTGTCTGTTCACGTCCACTGCCCATTTTTCTTTTCTTTTTTTTTTTTATTAGGATTTGGGTGAAGATTTACAGAGTAAATTCACTTTTCATACAGCAGTTCACATATACTTTGTCTCATGTCATTGACCAAAATTTACAATGCAGCAGCTCCCCTCCCACTTCCTCCCCATAGTTACCTCCTCCCAGTGTCCATCCCTTCATACTCTTCTGCACCCTGAGCTATCTCCCTGTGCATAAGCAGCCCTTCCTTCTCCCATGATTGTTCTCTCCAGGGCGTGTGTCTACTTGAGGTAAATGTTTAACTCACATGCCTGTACTTTGTTTGCACTGCCCATTTTTCAATTGGATTATTTGTCTTTTTGTTGGGAAGGTATCAAAGTTTCCTGTAAATTTTAGAGATCAGCCCCTTGTCCGATATGTTATTGCCAAAAAATTTTTCCCAGTGTGTGAATTCTCTTTTTACTTTTGGTGAAAACTTTTGAAGCACGTAAGTGTTGAATTTTTAGGAGATGCTAGTCATATATTTGTCTCTTGTGTTTTTGCATTTCTAGTTATGTTTAATAGTGTATTTATGCCCTGAATTAGGGCCCCTATGTTTGTTCCTATTTATTTCTTCATTGATGGTCTTTATAGTTTTAGGTTTTATGTTCAGATCTTTGATCGATCTAAGAACATCTTATTTAACCTAATGTATCTAAAGCATTATTGTTTTCACTAGGTAAAAATATCCTATTACAGATATTTTACTTTTTTATACTTCATTTTTGTATTTACTGTTGTACATTATGGTACATTTCATTTGGACTTGCCCATTTCAGGTGCTCAATAGCCACATGTGCCTAGTATCTATTGTATTGAACAATGCACATCTGATGTTTAATGGAAACTTCCTAGAAGGTTATCTGAATTAGCTGTGTTTTACTTGTAGGTTATGGGAATGTGGTGGAGCTGCGCATTAACAGTGGTGGGAAATTACCCAATTTTGGTTTTGTTGTGTTTGATGACTCTGAACCTGTTCAGAAGGTTCTTAGCAACAGGGTAAGCAATTTTACATCTTGACCTTTTTTTTAAAAAAAAAAAAAATTATATCTTGGCTCTTTAGAATGTATTTATCTTTATGGCTAGGTCTTAAATGTGAAGTATCAATTATTCCAACATAGTTGGATAACTTATTCCATCATTTTCAACCATAATTACTAAAAGACCTGCCTGAGAGCTTAGAAAAACAACTTCTGTTTAAATGACTTATAGTTTTTGAGTAAGTGAATGATGAGAATGAAAAAAGTAATAGTTAACAGTATACTGAGACATATGGAAATTCTTTTGTTAGCGGTGCCTTCTAGTGTGGAGGTGAAAATTCAGTGTTACCTTTAACTAAGATAGCATTTAAAAAAAAGCCCCAAACTCACTGCTGTCGAGTTGATTGGACTCATAGCAACCTCTCCTTGGATTTCCAAGGTAGTATCTCTATGGAAGTAGATTGCCCAGTCTTCCTTCTGAGGAGTAGCTGGTGGGTTTGAACCACCAGACTTCTGGTTAGCAGCCAAATGCCTTAGGTACAATGCCACCAGAGCTCCCAAGATAGCATAAGTGCTGAAATAAAGTGGCTCTTATGCTGTCTTGGGAGCTCTGGTGGTGTAGTGCCTAAGGCATTTGACTGCTAAGCAGAAGGCTGGCAGTTCAAACCCACCATCCTTCTGGTGAGCCATTTTATTTCAGGCAGTTTTGGTATACAGTTGTCTGGATATAACAGTTAAGAGCATCTCCTTTAATTCTGTAAATTAACTGGGTTTAAAAGATAAATTGGAGCTCTGGTGGTGCAGTGATTAAGTTCTCAGCTGCTCACCAAAATGTCAGAGGTTCAAACCTACCAGCCACACCCTGGGAGAAAGATTTGATAGTCTGCTTCCATATAGCTTACAGTTTTGCAAACCCTATGGAGGAAGTTCTGCTCTGCCCTATAATGTTGCTATGGGTGGGAATTGATGTAACAACAATGTGTGTTGGGTTTTGGAAGATACCGTACCTGGAACCACCTTTAGTAATGTAACACATAGGTTTACTTTCTAATAACGGGATTTGTATAATCAGGACTTCATTACCTGTGTAGTTCTTAAAGAACCCTATCCTTTCCGTATGTCTTTGTTAGCAAAGATCACTTTTTTGTATTAGTAGTGAAGAATAAATGATGTTAATTTACTGATATATAGGTATGGGATTTTAAAACTACTTTTTTTTAAAATTGAGATGAGATTTACATAACAAAGTTAACCATTTTAAAGCATGTAATTCAGTAGCATTTTGTACAGCTATCACCTCTGTTTAGTTGCAAAACATTATCATAACTTCTAAAGGAAGCCTCGAACCCATTCAGCAGTCACTTCCCATTTCCCTCTTTCCCCAGCTCCTGGTGACCACTGCTCTGCTCCTTGTTTCTGTGATTTAAAATCACACATTTTAAGCCGTATGAAAGAAATGTAGATTGACATTTCCCAGAGGGAAACATGATGTTATATTGTGATCATAACTGCAAGTCTTAATCCCTAAATGTGCATTGTGAATCTCTCAAACGGTTTGAGCAGCCATTTTTGTGAAACTTCTACAGAACACTGTTGAGATATTAAGGCGGAAACAGTGGCCTATCCTACCCAGAAATGTTTAGTAAGCTTTATGGACAAATGGATTTGTCCATCATTTAGGATACATTTGGTTGAGTGGCTCACCTTTTTGGTGTGGCCTTGAATTCATATCATACTTCCTTGTATCCTCAATGGGCCAAACAAGATCAGACCTACTGCTTGGCTTGCCAGCTCTAAGAGGGGTTCGTTTGTTTGTTTGTTTGTTTATTATTTTTATTTATTTCCCCACCTGTAAATCATCTTTTTTTTTTTTTTTTTTAATTGTGATTTGGGTGAAGATTTACAGAGAAATTCACTTTCCATACAGTAGTTCACATACACTTTGTCTCATGACATTGACCACAGTTTACCACAATGCAACAGCTCCCCTCCCACTT